TTATGCAAGAAGGAAAACCAGTTTGTTTTACGTCACACACTTTAACAGATACAGAAAAACAATATGCGCAGATTGAAAAAGAGTGTTTGGCTATCATGACAAGTATGAAGAAGTGGCATCAGTATCTCTTTGGTAAACATGACATTATTGTGCAAACGGACCATCAACCTTTAGAAACAATTTTTAAAAAGCCACTTAGTAAGGCACCTCGAAGACTTCAACGGATGATGCTTCAACTACAGCAGTATAGTTTTGAAGTTGTGTATAAAAGAGGGAAAGAACTTTATGTTGCAGATACTTTGTCACGGGCAGCATTAAAAGAAAATTGTGCGGTGGAGTTGGAGTCAGAAATGGTATTTCGAGTTGAGCTGGAGCAGATGGGTTTAAAACCTGCCATGATGTCAGACTGTACGTTAAATAGAATGAAAGAAGAGACCAGAAAAGACCAAACGTTGAAGTGTTTGTTGGAAACGGTACGAAAAGGATGGCCATCGGATAAATTAATGGTTCGACCGTGTATCAGACGGTATTGGTTTTTTCGAGAAGAAATTACGCTTTACGAAGGGGTTCTTTTGAAGACGCATCAAGTGATTGTACCAACAGTGTTGAGGAAAGAAATGTTGGAAAAGATTCACAAGTCTCACCAAGGTGCTGTCAGTAGTATACGTCGAGCTTGAGAAGCACTGTTTTGGCCCGGAATGTCAGCTAATATTCGTCAAATGTCTGAAGCTTGCGGAATTTGTGCTCAATTCCAAACGGAACAACCGAGAGAGCCTATGAAATCGCATGAGATTCCTAAGTTACCCTGGTCAAGAATAAGTGTGGATTTATTTCAATTAGCTGGTAAGAACTATTTGGTTATGGTTGATCATTATAGTGACTTCATTGAACTTGATCACTTGAAAAACACTACGGCTAATTCTGTAATTAAGGTGATGAAAAACAACTTTGCAAGGCATGGAATTCCAAGTGAATGCGTTAGTGACAATGGTCCTCAATTTGACAGTTCGGAATACAGATCTTTTGCGAGAGAATATGGTTTTACAACGGTTAAGTCGTCTCCGTATTATAGTCAAGGGAATGGTTAAGCAGAATCGGCGGTGAAGGTTGCCAAGAACATATTAAAAAAATCGGGCAACGAAGATCCTTACTTGGCATTATTAGCTTATCGCAATACTCCGCAACAAGGATACGTATATTCTCCAGCTGAAAGATTAATGGCACGGAAACTAAAAGATATTGTTCCAATGGTACCGTCACAGTTAAAACCACGATTAGTTGACAGCAAAATTGTAAGAGAGGACATAATGAAGAGAAGAATTCAATCAAAGATTCAGTATGATAAAAAAGCGTCACATCCATTGAAAGATTTAGCCGTTGATGATCGTGTTTACGTGAAGCCTAGGCAAAAGCATAAGACTTGGATTTATGAGAAAGTCATCGAAAGGCCTGATGAAAGGACGTGTGTTATGCAAACGCCATTAGGATTAGTTCGCCGAAATCGGAAGCATCTCAGAAAGATTAAAGGGGAAAGTTCAGAACATCAAGTACGTGAGGAACAATTCATGGATATTGTTTCTTTACCAGATATTGATAGCGACGTGACTAGTAGCAACAACAACACTGTTGATCCTGATGAAGAAAGGGCTGGAAATGCAGAACAGGTATCCGGAGAAGAGCTCGTGTCATTAAGAAGATCTGAGAGAGTTCGCAGACCACCATTAAGATATCAGGACTATACAGTATAATAGGATCAATCATTAAATCATGAAAACTATATTGTCCTATATAAATTGACTTTTGGATTGAAGCTTTAAATAACTGAAAAAATAAAAAAATTCTGCATTCATTTAGTTAGAGTTAATGAACTTTACTTGTGAGAACAATATGACTATAGTTAATTATTTTAATTGTTTTTTCGTAAGGAGAAAGATGTTAATAGTCACTTATGTTGCATGCTAATTAGGTTTTATTATTATAATTATAAGGAACATGTTTGTGCTATATGCAAATTATCTGTAGGTATTATATAAGGACCTTGCTTGTAAATAGATCATTTATGTTATTAAACTCATACACAACTTAACACAATAACAGATTACTACTACAGATACTGTATTACTACACATTGTTACACCCAAATAAGATCATACACATCAATGTTAATTATCATGATACAATACATCTGTTACAGCAAGAACATTTTTGCTTCATTTCTTGTATATATCACTTTGATGCCTGTAATAGAAATGAGAAATAAAGTTACTTTGTTTATGATTGTTTTATTCTATGGTGTGAAACTGTACGTTTCTTGTACATTTCAAAATTAATTGCAATGGGTGCATACTGTAGGTTCTGGCCAGTTAGCTCAGACCACCACCCCTACTTTGCAAGTTACAGCTCTGGCTGGATTGGAACTGTTAGCTCTGGTGCCCAACTAATCTTGTATAAATCTGAATTAACCCATTAACCCATTGAGTCGCATTGCACCCTGATGCGACCTACTTTAGTATTTTACTCTGTCTAACGCCAGACCATTTTACTCGTCAAGGGGAGAGCGCTGGCGCTTAATGAGTTAAGCGCCATCGCTCTCCCCAGTTGATGAGTAAAATTATCTCTAGTTTTAATAAAGTAGGACGCAATGCGACTCAATGGGTTAACCTCTAAGTGACCTAAATAAATATGGCTTTTTCTAAACATAAATCAAGACTCCCGTGACAAAGGTATTTTCTGAGTGAATGAGGTTTATGGTTTGGAGATTTTTATGTGGCATAGAGGTTGACCCATACTAACATTCAAGGTAATGCCAATGCAAGAATGATATAAGTATAAATCATGCAAATTTGGGTATGCACAAGTTGATGTCTCGATGATAGCCCGATGCTGACTGAAATGTAGTGTACAACCCCACAAGAAAAGCCTAACTACACAGCCAATTGGTAACTAAATTCTGATACAAAATCTAGCAAGTAGCAGGACTAGTAGTTTGTAATATTTGTGAAGGATACAATACAGCTTGTCTATACTGTATACAATCTAGTGCTAACTGCTCTTTATTAAACAAAAGCAAACTACAGTACAGTTGCATGAGCTGCTATTTAAACTACTAAACTGGCACTAGAAACAAAAGCCAGTGCCTGAAACTAGAAACAAAATGTATGTACACAATATATAAATAATCATGTACAACTTTTTTTTATGTCTGCTCCAGAAATATAGGTGTAAATATAAAATATAAGTGTTTGACAAATACATATTTATACCTCGATTTTTAATATAGTACGCATATCGGCCCCTGACTTTGACAATCGAGAATTAGTCGAATAAAAGGTAAAAACTTAAAATTTTCACTAATCTTACCTTTCAGAAGAAATATTCTTCCTTTTAAAGTCTTTACAGCGTATTTTTGCATCCACGGGCAGAGAAAAACGGCATGATTTTGTCTTGAAAACATAAAATATTTGTGCAAAAACAGGGGGGGGGAAGGTCTTTGATGGATGCTTAGTATCACGGTTCGTCAGTGGTAAATGCCATGAGCCGGAGGAACCGTATGGCGTCAGCAAACGTGAAAATCCGCCATGTTTTTGCGGACACTTTTTTGACTGACGAGAGATAGGAGCACCTCCTCCAGTAATATTATAGCTCAGTGGTGGTCATCCTCACTGATCTCAAAAATATGGTTGATTGCTTGTGGGAGTGGTATAAGCAAGATTTCAATTAGTTTTAAAAGACATATATTTGGAAAATCGTTTCATATACAACAAGCTTGAAGCAATTTTGTTTGAAGAAATGAGAAGAATTTATTTACTATGGGAAATCGTGAAATATACGGCAAGTTTGCTTTGAATTTTGTTGCTTTAATTTTTTGCCTAGAAACATGAACTGTTTTCCTTTTCAACGAGGCTCTAAGTTTCATAAATTACCTTTTAATTTGAACAAATTGATTTGAAGACTGAACTAAAATTACCTAACAATTTATTTTGTGCGTAAAACAGTTTATCGGCAAATGTAGTTTAGTTGATTGATCATTTCAAAAATTTCACGAAGCGTTTATTCAAGTTAAATTTTACATTAAATCAAAGCTCACAAAATGCAAAAATAATATAGTTACAGTGTATATTTCGGAAATTTATTGTTGCATAGTTAAAAGTACGAATCTTTCAACTATTTTGCTGTTTTGTACAAATATATGAAAAAATCAAATTTAAGATATCGTGTTGTCGTGGAAACACCTGAGCGCGAGCCTGCGTTCAGTGTCGGCCATTGCTGAATACTTCATGTCAATTTAATGTTTGGAAAATATCGGCGAGGGTGTACTGCATGGATGTATTTCTAGTAAAATTATTCTTAAAATTATCGTGTTACCACGACAACTACTTTCATATTCGGAAAACATTATGTTTTGTCAGTAAAGCGAAGGTTTTTGCATGCATGTAATTTCTAGCAAAAATTGAGAAATCCCCCCAAAAAATCGCTTTTAATAACAAAATTATCAATTTTCCAAACATATTTATTCTAGGTATGCTAGTATGCGCAACATAAGCTTCAATTTCATGTAAAATTCAACCACAAACGTTTCGCAAAACGTTTTAAAATGTTCTTAAAACTAATTGGCTTTTATCGAATTATCGGCAAACATTGAGGTTGGAATAAACTACTTTCAAATTCTCGCATAAAAATAACTTTGCTTTTTTCCTCTTTATTTAAGGGGGTCTTCCACCCTAAAAACATTTTTTCAATTTAAAGGTTTTATCATCATATTTGAGTCAAATATGATGGAATATCCTCAGCTGACGCAGGATCAGTAACTTTACATTCGTCGTTGCCATAGCAACTAAGATAGGCCTCGCTATAGGGTAAAATATAGGGTTTGCTCCAAAAATGATGTGAGCCAAATTAACTAATTTACCGAGGATTTTAGAAACAGCTTTAATGGACACTTAATACATCGATCTATGTCATGAACCTAAAAAAATATACAAGTAATATAATAAGGTCTTCATAGTTTACTTTTTTAAAATTATATGAAGAAAGGAGTTCTTAGAAGGCTACTATTGCAATGTATATTGCTGATATATGAAGTTTTTTAGGTCCATGACATGGCTATGTAACAAGCAAATAAACTCTGAAAATTTCGAACGAATTGATTCAGTATGAACAATAGGAGAGTTTTTAATGTTTCGCAAAATGCTCATGTGAGAAAAGCGATTTTAAAATTTTTGCATATATTAGAATATTTAGATACAACAATATAATTGAAAACGGAACAATATATAGACTAAACCAATCGTATGTCTTTATCGCTCCGGGTAAAATCGTGGTTTTACCCTACGAAGGTGTAGAATTTGCCGGATTTCTCTGGTTTACGGTACATTTTCGTTCTTAAAATTACACGGATTTTATAAAGAACGCTATAAAGACTACATTTTTACGTTTTTCTAAAAAATAACGAATATTGGGAAATTTGGGTGGAAAACCTTCTTAAATACTTTAATATACAAAAGAAAGGGTAATTAATAAAACTACACTGAAATTATATGCTGTAGGTAGTGTTTCTTTTTTCACTTTATATATACGCAATGATAGTATCGCTATTAACTATCAGTTTGATATTCAAAGTATCGCCCACCACTATCAGTTATAAATATATTAATTATAAAACAAACAATACATCAATATGTAAAACAAACTTGCCTTCATTAAAGTCCGCGACTTTGCTCTATTCTTTCAGACGTTTTTAGATGTTTTTTGGCTTTCAGAAAGGTTTTGAAATTTACAAAATTTGGTAAAAATACAACTTGCAAGAAATGTTCGTTATTTCGCTGTCGTCAATGCAGTCGTTATAATGCACATTTCAAATTTGACCAATCAGTGTTCCCTATTCACGACAGTCCGCTACATATTTTTTGATCAGTGTGGATGACCACCCATGAACGATGAACGGTGGCCATGCGCCCACGATATTTGAAGAACTTTAGCGTTCCTTTCGCCGAGTGTAAATAGCCGGGTGGAATTACTACCCTCGCACGGCGCTTCGCGCCGTCGGCTCGGATAGAAAATTCTGACTGTCCGCCATATTGTTCTATCTTTATTCCCCTGGCCGTGTGTCACAGGGAACCCACAAGGATACCCTACTATCGTTACAAACTGTAAGTGTTGGTCTCGAAATAATCAGTAGGCTAGCTATATTTCCTGTACAGCGTAAACAGGTTATGGGAGGTTTATATTAGTGTTCTTTACTGTATATCGAACTAAATCTAAGACTAAGAGCACATTTAAACTAAATTTCAAACGCAAAACCATATTGATATTTGCTATGTTAGCAAATAACATAGCAAATATCATGATTATTACATTACACTGATATCGAAGGAACTGCCCTCAGTTTTGAAATATCACTGACATACTCGAACCGACCTGACCGCGTAGCTCAACTCGCGGAGCATTGGACTGGTATTCCAAAGATCGTAGGTTTGATTCCGACCGCTGCCAGGTATATTCAAGCCTGCCCGGTGTGGATATACACTCAGACTAACATCAGAAGCAGCAAAGCGATATTATTGGAGACTAGAGAAAGCAAATTTGAAACGCAAACTAATGAAAGCAAACAGTTGCGCCTCAGCCTGTCACTGTAATTGAAAATCTCCCGAAATATCGGTATATCGAAGAAAACATCGACGGTGTCTTCAGATATTTCAGCTGATTCGTAAATAATATCGATCGATTGAGAAGTGTTTTGAGTGTTCAGCAGTTTTTGTTTCAGAAGCCAGTATAGTTCAGTCAGAATAAATCGCTACTCCTTGACGAGTATCTGTCAAATATGCCCATATCACGTGATCGGGCCAGAGAATGGCTTTCTCTTCTCCCCGCTCGTCTTTACACGAAAGCCCTGGGAACGTGGTTGTGCAGGCACATCAAGAACATGTTGATTTTGCGGATCTGCTTAAATATTGTGCAACATATGCGTTTCGGCTTCCCAGCAATGTTGGCAAATGGCACACTAAGTTGATATAATTAAAACATGCATTCTATATTTTTACAATTTTTCCGCTGTTAGCCATTTATAACGCTAATGTTTAACATTTAAAAATTATTGAATGAGGTTGAGCACAATATGAGGAATTATTATCAAGCACGAAGTTTGCCGTTATCAACCAAAGCCGAAGGCTGAGGTTGATAACGGCAAACTGAGGGCTTGGTAATTCTTCATATTGTGCGAAACCCGAATTCAATCATTGTTTTATTATTTATTTAAAAAATTCAAAACAAACGATCATCTATTTCTTTTCTCACGTCACGTTATAAATAAGAAAAAAAAAATAGGAAACTGAGTGTTCTTACCTATTCTAGAAGCTTTTGTTGATCTTTTTGTATTTAACGAATCTTTATCTTAGAGAAATTTTTGAATTTCGGCTTTGGTAAGGTTTGCAAACCTTTCAGTAGAAGAAGCTATTTGTATTTCATTTGTATTAAGACTGAAAAAACAATTCCTTAGTCCATCGGCGGCCGTCGTCGTCATAGCAATGGTGTCGCGAGTCAATATGATTCTCGTTGTCATAGTAATATGGGGCAAACGCGTCCAAATTTTTTTCATATTGATTCTTTGACGTCATTTTGCTATTATGAATGTGAAAAATCCGTATTTGGTTAGCCATTGAGTTGATATGACAATTTCACAGTTCGCTGTTAGCCAATCAGAAACCAGGATTTTTTTAAATAAATAATAATTTACAATAACGCACTCTATGCAGTATACTGTGTGCAACTTCTCTTCTTTTCTAAACAAAACAGACATATTTCACAAAATTGCTTATATTTAGATAAAGTACTTGAAACTGAAAATTCGCTAATGAAGTGCTCACAGAAATTTTACAACCATATATAATTAGCTAGAACCAAATTGGACATGTCTATTTTTGAACACAGCTAATGATCTCAGTATTTGGAAAGAAACCATGCAATTAGCATTTGTCACGTAGGCCGAAATCTGCAATTTTGGGGGTGCTGTACGCCCTAGTGGAAGATTCAAGACCCTTCAAACAACGTAAAAAATGACTTTTCAAAAATATAACTGTAAATGTGCCATTATACAAACAACTACAATAATAAAAAGTTGTATTTCATGGTTCGGTGGCTCTCAAACGTGGGAAAGGCAGTACACAAAAAAAAAGGCAGAATAAATCAATAATAGTTAGCCTTTCCACTATTGGGCGATCAAGCTTTCCAGTGGTAGATGATGTACGTGTCTACAAAGGAAATTTTTAGTTCTGCTGGGTGGAGTGTCCGCGACTACAGTGGGTGGAAGATTATGAATGTCACTTGCCCATACAGACTATAAAACAACATTCAGCGAAACAAAATAATGGTCAAAAAGAAATATTATTTTCATACTTACGTTAAATATTTCGGAAACATCTGTTTCAAGAGGCATTCTTGAAGGGGATTTACATTTTGAATAGCGATCAGAGTTCATTGGACCAATGTCTTGTCGATTAAGAATTCTCATTACCTAGAGATGGATATGAAAATCTAGAACTGTTATTACGTTTTAAACCAACGTGTTTAACGACACTGGTTGGTATGGTGTTGCAAGGCAACCTCACTGGTGCCCGTTGTTGTTGATGTCACCCAGGCTTTAACGCTGTTCTTAACGCTAGCTCAACTCAACGTTAGCAGGCCTGCTATGCCAGTTAACGACACAACAAGGAAGGAGAAAACTTCGAAATAACTGCTTGAGTTTTCAAGAATGAATGTTTATTAAGTTAATTAGTTTTGTCAATTAATATTGCATAGCATAGTCTAGTGTATTACTTGGTTTCAATCCCTTTACATATATTACTTCTTTTGAAGGGTGAACAATCACAAATGTTGATAACTGCTCTGGTTGCCAAAAAAAAACTATTCATGACACTTGAACATACTTCAGCGAAGCAAGGCATAACATTTATAAGGCAGATTGAGTCACGTATATTAGAGAGAATTTTGCCAAACAAGACGAGAAATTACCCTTCCGATTGGTGTTTAATGAAATGAACCTTGGTGATGCATCTGAGATTATGGACCCCCCAAAAAGGCGCAGTTCATGCACACAATGATCATAAGACGGTTGCCGGATGCTTCCTAATAGAGCATTTTGACTCGGTCAGAAAGCTATCTATGGAATAAAATTAAACCGCGATAATAAACATTTAATCACACACCTCTTCTTTCGTCACATCTTCAGAATCTCTCAGCAATAGAACACTTTTATCAAGTGCAGAAATTGCTACACGAGATCCAGGTTTTGCTTTCATTACGATCTTCGTTTTCCGACCAGGCCTTTTATGCGCCTCAACAAAATCAACCGATACCTATAGAGAGAATCCTTCTTTAGCAAAATAATTACTTTCATAAGTTTCATTGTCCAACTTTCGTTAATGGTGACTTGGAAACCAGATTAGTTTGGTACTAATATATCCATAGCTCTATTATCATCATCCTGCATGAACGCTGTATCCATGTAATGAACGAAAAGTAATTGAACATGTTTAACGTCAACTTATAAGCTTAGGCGATAAATTCAGGATAAATAATTATAGTAACTGAAAGAGACAACATATTGAAATGGTAAACAAAACCAATGTCTATTTTTTTAAGTGGCTATATCACTTGAGGGAACATTATAGATTTGAAAAGAGCGTAAAAAGTTAGTTAAAAAGTTCAAAACTTTATTGATTTTGTGCAATAATTTCGAAGATATAGGCAACTTCGTACCCCAGGGCTTCCGCGCTCATTGCTCTCAGAAGCCCTGGGATAATCCAAAGCGGAACACCATAGAACATTGAGTTTGTCTAATATGCGAGTTGCGAGTCTGCGAGTGGCGAGTTGCGAGTCTGCGAGTTGCGAGTCTGCGAGTTGCGAGTGTGGGAGTTGCGAGTCTGCGAGTTGCGAGTCTGCGAGGTTACGGTGGGGATTTATTGCGTCGAAAACGCTCACTTAAGTGTAATTTTGTATGTTTTGTGACAGACTGGTCTTATATTTTATACTTTGACAGATCTTTTCATTCTAAGAAATGCTCTCGTTTCACTTTTTCGAATTTTTAAATTTTGGCGGGAAAATGACGTCTTCCTTTTGGCGCCAATATTATTTTTAAATTTTGGCGGGAAAATGACGTCTTCCTTTTGGCGCCAATATTATTTTTAAATTTTGGCGGGAAAATGACGTCTTCCTTTTGGCGCCAATATTTTGTTTAAGTGTTAAGACTTCCTTAGTTAATTTTTCAAAAGTTATATGTTGTGTAAACTTCAAAACCGAAAATATAATCGAATTATCTTTATTCGATCAAGAGTTATAACGGATGGAACGTTCAGATTTCGGCCATTTTGTTACTAAAAATAGCCCAAATCTGAAAATTCCATCCTCTATAACTCTTGATTGAATTAAGATAATTCAATTATTGTTTCGGTTTAGAAGATAATATAGCCTCTTATTTTAGAAAAATTAACAAAGCAAGTCTTAACACTTAAACAAAATATTGGCGCCAAAACGATGACGTCATTTTCCCGCCAAAATTTGAGAAATTCGAAAAAGCGAAACGAGTCTGTCTGTCAAAGTATAAAATATAAGATCAATTTGTCAAAGCACACAAAATTACACTTAAGTGAGCGTTTTCGAGGCAATAAATCCACACCGTAAACTCGCAGACTCGCAACTCGCAGACTCGCAACTCGCACACTCGCAACTCGCAGACTCGCAGACTCGCAACTCGCAGACTCGCAGACTCGCAACTCGCAGACTCGCAGGACTCGCAATATAGCCGACCTCTAGAACATTGGTGCCCGCGGAAGTAAACAGTAGCTCCAGCTAAAAACGCTGACTGGGCATATTTTACGCAAGGAGTGAGAATGGATTATTTGTTGCAATTTATGATATATTTGGACTTTTTTTTCTGTGTTGGTGTAGTGTACTCAGGTGAATATGATATTTTTGGGTTTTACTCTGAGTGCATATCCACACCGGGCGAGTCCGAAAAATATGCCCGGCCACGGTGGGATTCGAACCTACCACCTTTGGAATACTAGCCCAATGCTCTTCCAACTGAGCTACGCGGTCAGGACGGTTCGAGTAAGTGATATTTCGGAACAGAATCTAGTTCCTTCGATACCAATGTTTTCTAGTAATATGATTTTTTTTTCTGTGTTGGTGTAGTGTACTCAGGTGAATATGATATTTGTGGTGTTACTCTGAGTGCATATCCACACCGGGCGAGCTTGAAAAATATGCCCGGCCACGGTGGAATTCGAACCTACGACCTTTGGAATACTAGCCC